ATTAATATTTAATTTCTGACAACAGCTGGAGTTTCAAAACAATGTTTGTTTCCCATGTTAATCTTATGGAGAAATACGAAACTTTAAAGGGCCCCAGGGCCTCACTCTCTAATTATTTACCTAAAAAGAAAGTTTCCTGCACAACTTCACGTTACGCTCTTTCCAATGACACCAAAAACATGTCAATCGGTTCAGTAGTTTTGGAGGAGTAATTGTTACAAAAATCCTGCTTGCTTATTAAATAAGTATAGATATAGTGAGTATTTTTTGTCTGTATGTTTTGACCATCAGTTTATATAGCCGGGTGATATCTAACACAAGCTCGATAAAGCATCATAAAAGCAATACATAAACTGGTTTGTAACAAAACAAGCGGCGATAAACTATTGACGCTATTTCATGAATGCTATGAATAACAACGATGAATGCCTCATGTTGTATGCGAATTTTTGTGTAATTTGATCTATTTCCTTGAGGTTCATAGCAGCACCGAGTAATAATTTATTTTGTATCAAAACCTCTTTTATAAAGCTTTGTCCATATAATTTTTATCTTCTGCATAACAAGTACATTTTTGTTTGTTTAAAATAGGGTCATAAATAATAACGATGAAATACTATGATGATCGCAGCCTATTAATCATAAAATAATAGTGCCATTATCGGCATTTCCTGTGTTCGGTTTAGGCCTATGCGGTTTATTTAAACTTCCACGCTGTTACACCATTTCAGTATTACGAAAATAAAGATTACTTTGGTGTCAAAAGTTACATTATTGATATAATCTGCAGCAAGTAGACTTTACTCTTTTATTGTAATATCAGAAGCTTGTTTCAGTGTACATTTTATGTGCGTAAAGTATGAATGTTCCGTTTTTTATTTTAGGGGAAACGTTTGTGCGCGATTTACTGTTGCATAATGTATCAGGCAGGGAAGAAGAAGTATTTATCAAGTATGTAATTTGCTTTGGTCGTACTAATATTTTAAAGCTGGAAAAATATTTGGTAAATTAAGAGCAAGTTGTCAACGTATCACGTTTTTCGGACATAAGCACAACTTACAATAATTAACCGTATAAATAAGATAATTTTAATGTATGTTATGTCTGCAAGAAGAAATAAATAATAAAAATACCCCTGCCGCAGCAAACTACTAAGCGATTTTCCATTTTTGTCTGAATTGGTTTTCAATTAAATCCATTTAAATTACATTAGGTTTAACGAGTACCCAGGTTTGCTGCTACAGTACAAGGAAACTTAAAAAGTGTGGTTTTTGGTAAAATATTAATAACTTATTATAAAATAAATAAATTTGCCAAGTTTGATCAACATCTTACTATCTTACTAATATTATAAATCTGAAAGTTTGTGAGTTTGTGCGTTTGTGTGTGTGTTTTGCTCAATCATGCACTAACTACTGGACAGATTGGGCTGAAATTTGGCATGATGATAGCTAACATTCCCAATTAACATATAGGCAGATTTTTATCTCAAAAATCCTTCCGGGCTCCGCACCAGTGGATCTGTAGCGGTATGGATCATAAACATAAACAAATGACGTTGTTGGCCCAAATCCTATACTAATAGCATTGAACATATGTTTTAGCAGTTCCATTTAAGCAATGTTAAATAATGTTTATTTTCGGGCCAAAAACGTCATTTGTTTATGTTTATGATCCATACCAGTATTTTTCCAGTAATCGTGATCTGTAGTTCCCTATGTTAATTACGAGTATTCATATTTAAAGGGAATTAAAGAATTAAGTCAGCTGTTTCAACTAAAAAGTTGGTTCTATGATATACAAAAGCATTAAAAGTTATAAAATTTACCAACAGGGTGCAGCACTATTATTTTTCTCATTTATGCAAACAGGTAATTTGAACCAAGCAGCAACCAAAAACTGCGATATGCTGTGTCAAATTAGGATTGTTTACAGCTATGTTTATGTTTTTAATTTCATGAATAATTTGCGATATTTTGCGAATTTAATAATCTATTTTTCTCTATTGTTTAGGCGAAGTAGCAGAACGTTATGGCTATGGTATATGTGTAATACTATTTTATACAGTAAATTTAAAGAAGCAAATTTGATCAAACTGTACTTCCCCCCATTGCAAACGCAAAGCTTGTGTATAACTGCAATAAGCATTTATATTTATATACCAATCCCGTACGAAGCTAGTATATCCATAAAAAACAGACTACAACATTTTACAATATTCTCCATAAGAATAACATAGGAATTTTAAATTTCCATTTTTTTTTAAATTTAATTCATTACAAATAACCGTACAAAAACACTTATATATACTAAATTATTTTTTTAAGGTCTTCAAAAAGGTCTAGAGAGAAATTGGAAAATGTTATGTTTTGAGGGTAAACAATAAGGAAGCCCATTTTTACACCATAAAACTCCGTTCCCATTGTCCGATCATGCTGATTCGCGAACTCATTCAAGTTTATCCCGGATTACACCTTTAAACCAAATTTCAACAAAATCGGACGAATATACTCAAGTTATCGCGTTCTCGGACGTATGAGGTTCTACCCGAGAATTCACAGGTGTACTTAGCAGCCACAATTAAATTAATTGAATCAATTTTCAATTTATATTTCATTCCCCAAAGGCCCATGTTCGGCCAAAGGCCAAGTGAAGGGCCTAAGTTCGAAAAATTTTCATCAGAAGGAATGTTAGACCATCATACCTTACGTCCTGAAGTGACCGAGGGTAGTAGGAGTAGACATACGATTGGTTGTACCTGAACTCGAGGTTAAAACGTTAAATTGTCAATAGGGATTTTAATTTTCGTTTTTATAATATTTAGTCGAGTACCTAATACCTGAAATCGAAGCAAAATGGGCTAATTTACAGACAGTTACCTTTCGTTTGGTACCTACCGCGTGTAAATCGGTCCAGTAGTATGCTCAGGCTGAGGCTAGCTTTAAATGTTGGCCCCATTTTAAGTCTCTATAAGAAGTTTATTTTTATATTGGTTCCTAGAGGTTGCCCCGTTGTCGAAAACTCGACCACAAATATGTAATATACAGACTTCTCTATTTTCACCCCACATTGTAAATGAAACATGTGATTTGAATTTGTTTCGATTTTCTGTTTATATTTTGTTGTTATTTTGTCACCAGCATGGCAACCCATGTTAGTTTTTTTGGAATTTAAAATTCATTTTTCGTGCTTATTTTTCAATCTATTTTAATGTATAAAGGGATTCTGCACATCTACAGGTAAATATCTTTCATTTGGTAACAACCGCGTGTAATTCGGTCCAGTGGTATGGTCAGGCTAGCTGTCATAACTTTTTTGGTATATAAGGTATATTTATATATATATATGTATATATATATTGGAACGTGTTTTGGCCTCTGAGGACATCAAAATGAAAAAGTAAATAGGTCCCGGGCCTAGGTTTTACCGTTCTACCTACGGTAATAGCTACTTCCAATAGGGGAAATTCGCTAATAATAACATATAAAACACAGTTTACATCGACCATCTTAAACTGATGGTCAAAACATACAGACAAAACATACTCACTAAATTTATCATCATTTAAAAAAAATCTATTCTTTATGTACACTCGTTTGTCACAAACCATAATTACAGAAAGAGGCGAATTTAAATTAGTTCTCTTCGGTTATGTTGAGGGCGTTTTGTTGTTTGTTTAACCAACTTACATTAAATCTGGTATTTAAGTCATTCATCACCTCTAATATTTTATTTAACCTAAGTAACAAGCACATTTCGTAGAATCGACTACAAGATAAGAGAGAAACATTGAATCTTGACTACCACACTCAAACTTTACCGACATGAAATACACAACAACAAACAGACTTCAGATGTTGCAATAGATTGAGAAGTTTTCATGTACTATTTTATGTCAATGGGTACGGCTATAAGCTCGTTCAAAGAGACTTACATAATAACGTATTGCGCAGAAGTTCACTGGAGCCACGGAGAGGTGCGCTAAATTCGCTAACCACCCTCTTTGCGAACGGATGCTACTTGAGATAGAGACGTATCGGAACCAGATAGAGCACGATTTGAGGGCCAGGTGATGCTATCTTGAAATTAGGATGAAACACGTTTGTCAGGGTAGGTGTGTATGCGACCATAAAAGATTGAAGTAGGTAAGGAAAACGTATGTTTAACGTTCGCATTGAAAAAAGAGAAACGTGACGGAAAGAGTGAGCTGAGAGAGGGAAAATCTATACCAATTCATAATAGCTTCTCCACTGCTTGATTAAGTTTTGCGTTTTAAGACAACAACTATGAACTCAATGTTGTCACATTAGTCAATGATGAGTGTTTGCGGCAAATCGTCTGACAATCACCAATCTCATAGACCTAATGATCTACCACAGTGGCAATACTGATAAAAACGTGGTAGCTCTAAGCTAGGCTCTCGTTATTAGGGTGTTTCCAGACCGGTTGGTTGACAAATGAAAGAGTCATTCCCTGACGTTGCATTACGTGGGCAATGTTTAATATTCTTATGTAGTTGATATGATATGATATGATGATGACAGAAGTGTTGAAATGTGCATAACTCACTAAGGATGAAACTTGGACCGTAAGGCGACAACAGTTAATATAACCTTTTCATTTGACTCTCATGCTGCAGTTCATAACACGTTCAATTATCAACAGTTAATTGTTCTTGCATATGATAGTTAAAGTGAAAGAAGTCGAAGTTGTAAAGAATATTTGTTTATTACACCGGATGACCAATAAATCGGCCTTTGAGGTTCATAGAGGTTTTGGTCAACACCATATTCATGTGCAGTATTAATTTGCGACCTCAAGTAAACACTAGTCTTGTTGTAACACAATCCATTGTCACATTAATCCAAAATATTTACTTGTAAAATATAATGATAACTACGTCAAGAAAACATAGAGAAAGTATGTATCATACTTAAAGGAATTTGTTTTGAGAATTTAAAGTATTTTGTTTACTAATTATTTTCCAAAATTTGTTGCAGGAGGGAAGGACACCGTGGTGTTCAACATAAGTAGTGTGAACACCGAAGAGGAGGTGAGACTAGCTCAGCTGCAACTTAACAGAAGAAAACTGCACCAACGTCACAGACACAGGAGATTGTTGGCTCCACCTTACAGGATCAGGCTATTCCGAGCATCTCCTGGAGGCAAGCTGACTCCTCTAGGCTCTGTGTCGGTCTCCATGGTCCAGAGGAGCGTTTGGACATCCGTGGATATCACTGCTCCACTCAGAGAGCTCCTGCTAGACCCGAGGGGCGAAGTTTATGGTTACTCCTTAGCCGTGCGTTTCGAGTCTCCCTCGGGTAAAGTCATTCCTCCTTCTCATTTCCTTCGTGGATTCCCCGACTCTCACGCTTTCCTCGTGGTCTTCTCAGAGGACGGCGAAGAGGAGGTCACCGAGGACGGGGGAAGACCTCCACCTAAACCTCCGGTACACACTCACGCCTTGGTGCAACGTCTGCAGACGGGAGGTCTGGAACGAGTGTTCATAGACGACTCTGACAATAACCCCGATATAATTCCTAACTTTAAAAGAAGGATGTTTACCAGGAATGTTACTTTATCGAACAGTTTGACAACTCCTCCAACTGTAAATGAAACTCACTCTACTTTGGATCAGCGGGAAGATATGTCGGAGAACGAAATCATCAGGAAGACTAGATCCATCATTGATAACAAACTTCCAGACGAGAATGAAGATTTGATTCCGGTTTCCTCTCCGGAATCATTTTTGACCTCCAGAATAGATATTTTCAATGGTGAGAGTCGCAATAAGAAACCGAAGAAAGTGCGGAAAGGCAAGCGTAAAGGAGGGAAGAAGCAGAAGAACTCGTATTCATCAGACAGATCGCAGAATATGTATATGGTAAGAGGAAATGCAATTGTTATTTTTAAATAGTAACAGGTTATAGTAGTTTACACAACGATTGCGTAAAGATAGTGTTAACGACACGAGTAGAAAATTGGCGAGTGCCTTAAAAACTTCTACGAGTGTCGTTAACATTATTTACGCGAGTTGCGTACGACATTGCTTTAATTACTAAAAATCACTATTCATAATTTCTAAAGGAGGTTATGTTTTCGTTTATAACCTCTCATTGCCACTGACAGTGATGCAGCGAAACACACTAATTGCACCAATCAACAATTAAATTGGCCTGAACAGCTGATTAGTTGAATTTTGAATCATTACAATTTTACTTCTCCTCTCTCAATCCTTGAACCTCATTGGTCAGTTACCCGTGTTGTTATGAGTAAAACTATGCTGTTATGAAAGTAAACAATGCTGTTATGAGATACTTTTCAATTCTAAGAACTGTACTGAAACGGCTACTTTAAAAAACGGTCGTAGGTAAAATATACTTTTAAATCTTTTATTTTTAAATAACCTTATACAAATTATTATCAGAATCATCATCGATATTCCAATACAAAAGTTCTTTAAGATACGATGAAAGTGTAACTTTGAAAGCATTCTAGATTTGGTAGACATGACCCACCTCGTTTTAAGTAGACTTGATGGATTTCGCGAGATTCAAATGAAAAGATTTAAAACGTTTCTAAAATTAATAAAACTACCGTAGTAAAATCGTATAAGAAACTACAATGTTTAAAAATCTTAGTATTATCTTGTACACAACACGTTGTTTAGCGCTAAAATAACTACTTTCATTACGTTGATTTTTTTCAAGATTAGGCCTATATATTTTAAAACCTTTTCTGGTTAACTTTTGACAAGTTTGGAAGTGCTCCAAGTCCCAAGATGCTGGAATATGGATTAAGTTTCGTGTTTCATCCCAGTGACGTCAGGACAAATTATGATTTCCTAACCTGTTAACCCTATGACACAGCTGATATATTGTTAGACCACAGAACTTCTGTGCTGAATACTCTGGTTTCAATAATGTTAATTTCTAATGGCGTTTAGCTAAAAAATAAGTAGCCAAGTCCACACTAAGTGTGTGTACCTATTTAAAAACAAAAATAAATGACATGAAGAACTTTCTCTGAATTGTAGATTTGCTTCACTGATAGCTACGAGATTAGATAACATACGTTTAAACAAACTAGCTCCTGGCATGGTGATATTGCGTATTATTTCACAATAATATTTTATGGGGGTGGCAGAATGTTTTACTGTAGGACCTACTTCATTAAAAAAGTACAATATATCGGAATTAAATCAATGACTTTGGAAAAAACTCATCCCCAAAATGCATCAGGCTGTGTATATATATTTTATGGATACAGCGTTGCTTACAAGTTCGTAATTCTAACGTTTTACTTATTTTTTTTTGTATTGTAGAGCTATCCTCACTAAAAGCTAAAGGTTATTTGATAAATTAATTAATGAACCTATATACATTACACATTATAGCCTATATGATTCACCCAGCAGCAAATACGACATATTAATACATTATTCAAAAACTGAAAGAAGTTTTTTTTTGTTTTTTTTGTTGAAACTGTCGCAATGTTCTAATATATAGAAAACTAATCGCTATTGAGGGGAATCTGAACCCCTTATGTTGTATGGGTATTTGAGATTGAATCCTACCCTCCTACCCTTCATGACGCTAGGCCAACAAACGCAAGTATAGCCCTCAAATAATACGGATAAAATTAGGGGAAAACCAACCCGTCTTTTAACGAGACTTCCCTCAAAGTTTGAGACTATAAAATAGCCTAGCAACACAAAGAAAATATACAATTCATATCCTGACTAAAGGAAGCTCCTATTATATTAAAAGCTAATTTAAATTCCAAACATTGGAAAAAGATATACATTAAATACAATTCTATTAATTTTTGTCCCTCCAAGCGACGTGTTTTGTCACTCCCGTGTACCTATTCCCTCCAACACGCACCAGGCCAGGCGTTGTTTTAACATAAACTGCTAATTATAACAACTGGTAAACATCAACACCACTTCCACTGTTTTACCGGACGCCCAGCGCTCAGCCTTCAGTGGATGTTTTCAATAAACACGTGGACATTTCGTTGTGAAGAGTAGTTTGTGAACACATGTTGTTTAGGAGTTTCACACAGGAACATTCAATGTCTTATGTTAAGATGAAAATATTTTCCTGTCCCTAAATTATCCTAAGAAGCTGTGTTACTTGTTTTTAGCAGCATCGTACGCACACTAAAAAAAAACAGTTAGTCTTTTGAAGTTAATAAACAATTAGTGTAAAAAAGTAAGTTATTTTGAAATGAGTTAATAGTGCTAGTAACAGGAATGTTATCGGTTCCATCCCGAGAAAAGTATGTAGCTTTTTGATAATTTAAAACTGGCCGTTAGCTTGAAGCGGTTCTTAGCGGAAAATATGCGCAAAATTTACCAAAAACCAAACCCAAAACCAGAACCAAAAATTACGATGAATACTTGGCTATCTAGAGTTTAACTACAAAATTAAGAAATAGTTGAGCTTGATTTAATAGTAGGATGATTGTAAGATAGTACGAAAATTAAGAAACGCAGTATAAATGAATAAATCAGTACTATGTGTCTGAAATATTTACTTGCAGATAGAGAGTGTTTGTTTGTAAAGATTGTGATCTTTGTTTCAGACACGGTTTTTTGAAAGAGAATTTAAATCGGTATACATTTGTTTAAACAATATGACGGACGCCTCGCTTTGAATAGCAATAACACTCAACTTCAGCCACATCGATAAGGAAATAAAAATTAAAGTTAACCTACTTAAAACAAAACAAAAATATTACGACAGTTAAAATCAATGACGTACGGTATTAGACACTTTCGTTGGTTTCTAGAAGTTAAAAAGGTTTGATGTATACTATAAAGTTGAAAAAAAAAACCCAAAACATTATGATTCATTCATCATCATAACCATTTATGTTGATTTATATCAATGTTTACAACAAATCATTGAAACATTGATAACATCCGAATGACCATTTTATTATTAGTTGGTTCCAATGATAATAGTAAAGGCCTTTTTCATAAGAAAGTAGAAAGTGAGCCATTACAATGTGAAAACCACGATGAAACAGGTAAAAATGAGATATACTCCGATCTATCTTTAACCTATCTTTAATCTTCTATCTTTGATCTATTTACTTATGGGGGATGGATCTATTTACAAGGGAATTCTCTGTAACATCCTTTTTTCAGCCGTACTACTTATAAGATTTTTACGATTTACGTGTCATTGTAAATGTTATGATCTAGCAAAGTGGCGAATGGTAGTAACTAAATAGTACCTATATTTCCTATCAAGAGTAGAAAGTGCGCCATTACATATTTGAGACCATATTATGTTTGAAGTGAGAGATTTATCGAGCACTTTTAATATGGTCGAGAATATGTAATGACCCACTTTAACTCGTGTTTTCAACGTAGTTTTCGCTACACTACAAAGAATATTTTTTTTAAATAATAAATAGACATTGGAATATTTCTTTTACATATGGACATTTCAAAACTAATAGCAGTTCTTAGGTAGTTGCAAATTAAAACAGTCGTTGAACAAAATAACAAATAGGTTAATTTTTTTCCCTACAGTTACCTAACAATGTACATGTTCTCTCGCTGATTTGAGAAAGCAAAGTGGCCAATTCGCTCATCAGTGAGACAATGTTAACATTGTCTCACTCTAATTACTTTGTCTCACTCCAGATTTGCAACGTGAAGGCACGAAATAGTGAGCGCGTAACATGCAGGCAACGTCGTCTGCGTGCGAAATACGTTGGCAGCACTGGCTGTAAATCAGCTGGTCAGCTGTTGTACTGTTGTATTTGTCACTTCACATTAAATGTCATATTAAAAGTTCACTTCTGTGTAAAAATAGGTTATGTTTCTTCACCAATTTGTTTGTTTTATGGTAACTGTAGGAAAAGTGTAATGTGCAACTCGAGTTCAAAGTACAATTGCCTCACTCGAGAAACCATTCCTCACTCGCCTACGGATCGTGAGTAAGGATTTCTCTCGAGTGAGTCAATTGCTCACTTTTCTCACTAGTTGCACAAATAACTATTCTTTTGAAAAAAAAAAAAAAACACAGTAAACACAATGTTTGCACAATAAACATTCTATCTGCGTATTAAACAATGTATTGATAAATTATTGCAGGTGATAAACATTTAACGAAAACAGGTGATTTAACAGTTGTGTGGCGAAGAAATATTTCAAAATTCTCTTTAGAAAGTTTAATAATTTTTGTTTGTATAAAATATAAATACCCGTCAACGATGTTGTTGGCGATCCTAACAAGAGTTTGTGGAGTGGTAAGTGGGAGCTTTTAAAAGCTCGATGATAGACTTAACGATCAACCTTATCACATAGAAGATTGACCCTGTAAAGTGACCGGCTGGGATAGAGTTAAGCTAATGAACACGTCAACTAAAATATCAGGCATCACAATGTAATTTACGTTCATAGGCTGTACAAGCAGGCAAATAGCAATAAACTTTTTCAAAAAGGGTTTTTAGTAAAAATTCACATATTTTGAAAAATATTCCGTTGGCTCAGAAACCTAGAATTGTATACAGCTGTTCAAACCGAGCGTATCCTTTACCTAACTAATACGTCCAATCTGAGAAGATAGCTCAATTGACAACCTACTCAATACCATAGATAAAACATACTTCCTTAGTTAATTAGTTGCCCCTTGTGTTGCTTAGTCTATCCAAATACATAAAATAAAGTTTCGATGGTTATGAACTATTAGATATTTTATTTTACTATTTTGGACATGTGTACAATCTAAATTGCGTATTTCGATGGAGGTTATTAAAAGTGTTGTATTAAATAAGTAGCCTGGTTCATTAAGACATAACAAAACCTAACCATTAAGACTCATCCCGTATAATATCTCACCCAATAAACGAACTTTGAACTGTACTTTGTAGGCCTATTAAAACCATTTATTTATTTATTTTTACGGCAAACACAATTTTTTACAATAGTTTTACATTGTGAAACATGCGACAAGATGCTTATTACATGTTAATAAATGTTGTACAGATACATCAGTGATACATGCAAAGATTAAAATGAAAAGATGGAAAACATGTTCAATGAAAATTACATGCAGTTGTTATAACAAGTGAAGAGTGAAAGGTGAATGAACCATTACCAATAGGCTGGACTGTGTGCGGCTGCAAAACAATTAAAAAGTATGAACTGTAATATTTTCTGAAATCTAAAAAGGAAAAGTTCTCGGCGTTCTATCAAACCCCCTCTATCATTGGTTTCTGCCCTTGCCAAAAGACGGCTTGTTTATGCTAACTGCCGACTGCATTTTATTGGTCTTTGTGTTATTGACTATTGGCACGTTCCAGGGGTTTATTTGGCTGACTAATTTTGGTTTTTATTTTGTAAAATACTAATTCGTCTGTAAAATCTGTTAGTTTTTATTAGCGTGAGCTCTAATTCATACGGTTGCGCATAAGTATACTCGATAATCAAATATTGAAATACTTAAGATCATACATTTTAAATCAGTTTCGTCGAATCAGCGTATGTTACAAACACTAGTGAGATTCAAACTCCATAGTATTTTTAATACAACATCTACACATTTGCTATGTTGTATACAATATTGAAATTAGCCTATGTTGTTATTTATGCAATTTTGAATAATAGCACGGCAAATTGAGAAAAGATTTCTACACTTTTTTGTTACAACATTTTAAGTTTTTGAAATAAAATGCAATGCAATTCTCTGTTTAATCAGATCTTAGTGGTATAGCAAGCACATTAAACCATACAAGATCTATAACTAAAATATTTTTGAAGTGTGTATAATTTAATACATTGGTTAACATAAGCTTTAAAAAGTAATAATAAATATGGTTGATTAATTTTGGGGGATTTCCCCAAAACATTCTGAAATTATTGTTTGGCTCGTTAATAAGAAAACAATAAATAGTAAAACCCATTTGGGCATGATGATGACCGGTGTTATAGGTTGAAATCGATCACCATTGTAATATATTTTACACCGGCATAACATATATTCATTGTATTGTAAACGTTTATGGTTTGTACAGTGTATTTATCGAATATAAAAGTATTCAAATGCTGCAAGTTTTCAAAAAAATATAGTATTTTCATTTAAATCATACCCGTAAAATAAATACTGACATAAAAAATACTAAATGTAAATTTATATTATTAAAATAATTTGTTGGATTTTTGTGTGCAGCAAATCGACCCCTAAATATTTATTTTTATAGGCATATCGGGGTGCCAATTTAAAGCTCTTATCCTATAGATGTGCCTTTTGTGGGTTTAGATTATATGCCGTGAAAGCCCTTCGTCCTAAAGGCTTTTAAAATTTCATAACTGAATTCTGTTGTCAATCATCTGAACTTTTTCAAGTTTACTTTTGTTTACATCAAAATAGATGGCCATGATACCAAGTTGTTTACATCCATGCGAAAATGGGGTTATCTGTAGTTGGGTGGTAGTTGGTGATGTTTCAGTGAATTAAAGTAAAATGTTGTAATGTAATTTGTATAAAATGTAAATAAGAAAATGGCTTACGTTAGATTTTGTGGTGTGATAGAATTTTGTGTTTTCATAGTATGTTTATTTTTATTTATTTTATTTATTTTTATTTTTTTTTTTTTAGGAAATTCGATTAAAATACTGTAACGTTATTTGTTTAAAATACAGAAGAAAATGACTTATGTTAGATTTTGTGTTTTCATTGTATGTTTCAATAGTAGTTGTAATTCTGAGATACTAAGATTCTAAGAGATCGCGCACGCAATGAAAATAATGGGGACATGATGAGAAATAATCATTTTCAATCTTATCAACTATATATAAAATATATCACGGATTTTGAAGTCACGAAGTGACGCAGGTTGCTAGTTTGATAAAAAATTGTTTTTCACTTTAAATTACTACATAATACACTCATTTACGGAAATCTACATGCTATCGATGAAAAAACAATCTAGCCTACTAAAAATAACCAAATAAAATGTTGTAGCTGACATAGGTTTTACATTGATGTCTGTAGGACCCGAAGGACAGAACACTGCCCGTGCGTCTACAGTACTGGGCTACTAAAATTTTAATCAACTTTTACTCATTGATTCCATTAATTTAAACGAAGGTGGATTAATTTTTAATATAGATTTTAAATTTGAATAGAAACATTTACACATTTTTTTAGCAACAACATTAAATGTTTAAATAAAAATAATTTATTTTTATTAAAAAAACAATTCTCCAAAATGCCCTCCAAATGCTGAGTATTACACAACGTATTCGCTGTGTTCCAGGGGACAGACGAGCCACTAGGGTGTCAGGTCCGTAAAATGACGGTGAACTTCTCAGAGATTGGCTGGGGCGAGTGGATCATCTCTCCGCGCAAGTTTGAGGCCAATTATTGCACGGGGTCCTGTCGCTTCCCGCTGACTGAGGTAAAACTTACATCCCTAGTCAGCTTGACATGCTGAGTACAGATGTTTGGCTGAGTATAATTGGGCTGATACAGCCCGCAGTGTTGAGAATCAATCGATCCAAGTTTGAATTAGTATTTTGGATCATGCGTGTACTAACATGTGCACATACAGGGTGATTGACGTAAATGATGTAAGTGTGCCAGCCGTTTTATTCAAAAACCATAAGAGATATCAAAAAAAGTTAAATGGTAAGTGTCTTGGACTTTTTATTTAAAAAATTGTAGTAAAGTTGGAAAAAATATTTTAGCCGCCATTTTTCCAATATGGCCGCCAACTTTGATTTTTCTTATTGATCACCCTGTATTTTATGATGTATTCTGGTAGAAAATGTAATTTTAAGACGATTTTATTCTTGTAATTCTTTTCATAAATCTAACCGTTTCAAAGATAATAATGGTTTAAGTTGTGAAATTTTGAATGGTTTTCGAATAAAACAGCTGGCATGCTTGCATAGGCCTTTGTCGAAACTCTTTCTCATGCAGAAATTTCAAAACTTTAACCATTACTTTGAAACGGTTAGGTTTATGAAAAAAATCACAGGAATAAAATCGTCTTAAAATTACAATTTCTACTAGAATACATCATAAAATACAGGGTGTTCCCTAAGAAAAATCAAAGTTGGCGGCCATATTGGAAAAATAGCAGCTAAAATATTTTTTTTGACTTGACTACAATTTTTTAAATAAAAAATCCAAGGCACTTACCATTTAACTTTTTTTATATCTCTTATAGTATTCGAATAAAACGGCTGGCACACTTATATCAATCACCCTGTATAAGTATGTTAAAAATTGGACTAGTCAATGGCTAATGTTACCGTGGATTGCACATGTTCCCAGATTTGTAGATACAATTAAGACAATTTAAACCATATTATACCGGTAAAGGACTTGTTTTTTTTACTATTTATTACTTCTTTTTCAATCAACTGAAAGATGTGTTTAACCAAATATCTTTTAAAACTATTGCTAGTTCTCTTTTATTATAACCTATAGTAAAACTGAAGTCGTCATTCATCAGAGAGGGCATTCAAACTTAAAATGTCACAAAATGCATGCTTTAGATTTCCTAATAAGATTTTGAGTATGCACTTGCATAGTCAATGATCCTAGGTAGCATAAATAAGTGTTCAGTCTAAGTTAACAAAAACGTACTATTATCAAGTTAAGTAATACACAGTTCAATATTTTCGTTTCTAATTTTAATGTGTGAAACCATTTTTAAGGCATTTTCAAAGAACCAATATTGTCCCTTGCATACTGACCCCGTTGCAAGGCATGGATATAGCTGCTATTAAGTCAGATAAAATATAAATAATTTCCATTGTCAATGGCAAAACTAAAGCATTTATAATCTTAGACTTTTGACTCACTATAAAGAAGTTCATATAAGAATGATATTGGTACAATTCTACGTTAATTTTACAGCCAGATTATAATGACAGTCAAATTTAGCAGAATGGACCACTAACCACATTAATTACTTATTTCGATCGAATACCCCAGGACTATAGCATCTTTTATTTCACATAGGCTGTCATTAGCAGAACGAGTCCATCCGCACAAAGTTTACTACGGCTAAAGAAAAGTCATAGGGACCCACTTTGATGATGAAATCTTAAATCGATATTTGTCTATTGATAACACACAATGTATATAGTCTCTTTCAGTTATCTTATCAACCGCTACCTGAAGCGACGTTTGATGTGGCCGACCATAAACTGTTACAATGTTGTAAAAATCACAGATCTTTTGTTTGGTCACAGTTGACAGCTTACATTTTTAATGATTATTGTCGGTATCTAGTAATTGTGTTTGAAAGTTTTAATTTTACTAGTGAGGCCATGGTTATAGTACCATAGACTTTGACAAATGAAGTTGAGTTCCCATGGACCAGCTGTAGCAATCTCTTTTAGCGAATTTCCTATATAGGGAATAAGCTATTACCGTAGGTCTCATGGTAAGACCTGGACCCGGGACCGATTTACTTTTTCTATTTATATATGTGTCCGTTAGCACGATAACTCGTGCAAAAATGATCCGATTTTGATGAAATTTGGTATAAACGTGTAAACCTACATTTATTCGAACGAGTTCGCGAACCAGCATAATCGGACCATGGGAACGGGGTTTATTGGGGGTTGTATGGGATAAAAATAGGGTTTTCTAATTTTTCACCCTGAAAACATAAAATTTCGCAATTTCTATCCAAACCATTTTGTAGAGCTCAAAAAACAAATAATTTAGTATACTGAAGCATTGTTGTATGCTATCTTATGGAGAATAAACTGTTGTTGCTTGCTTGTCTATGCACATATTTTAATGCAATTTTGAAATTTTGTTTACTTCATATTAAGCTATCGATATTTCAATAAAAAACCCCTATTTTCTTCCCTGTAACAGCAAACCTATAAGTACTTATTAAAACTAATGATATTTAAATAAATCTGACAATTTTAAGGGAATAATTTAGTGGAATTCCACTCAGGTAGATGAAAATTCACATAGTCTGCAGGTTTACAATGGTGAAAAGTTATAAAGTACAACATAAATTATCTATACCTATTTAATACGCAAGCAGGTTTTTTGTGACAATTACTCCTCCGAAACTACTGAACCGATTGAGATGTTTTTGGTGTCATTGGAAAGAGCGTAACGTGAAGTTGTGCAGGAAACTTTCTTATTAGGGAAATAATTAGTGAGTGAGGCCCTGGAGCCCTTTAAATTTTCGTATTTCTCCAAAAGATTAACATGGGAACCAAAATTGTTATGAAACTCCAGCTGTTGTCAGTGAGAAGAATAACATATGTTAATTGTACACAGTCAATAAGTTTGCTAATTTAACAGTTTGCTACAAACATTTACTGACTTGGTTGAAATGGAATAATTACTGTTTGAATTTGGGTTGGCGTAAATATTACATTGGAAAAAAGCAAGAGAGCCTAGATAATTTGATATAGGTACTAAAAAGAAAACTGAGTTAACACTGTGTTGCATTTCTCAGTAATCACTGAAAGAGCCGATTTGCAAACTATGGAAAAAGGAAAATCATAGAACACCACCAAAGAGAAGAAAAAGAAACAATGTTTTTTTTTTTGAATTTATAATCGTTATTATGGACAACCTAATGCGGCTATGAGTAAGCCTATTTGTAGAAAACACAAAAAACAAGATCAGCTTTTGAAAAATGATAAGATATATTTACATAAAATGTTGATTATATCGATCTGTTTTGTACATATTGAGTATTTCCATAATCTTTGAGTGGAATATTTTAAAGTCATCAGAAATTATGACTGTTATTCGTTTTAAATTAACACCTGTAATACTAAGCAATTGCTCGAATTCGAGCAACAGGGACACTAGTTTTACTTATTGGGTTGGCATGCTGGAAACAACGTTTTACTTAGAGAGAACAACGTTAAATGCACCTCTCTGAGTGTATCTTGTCGTACTATTGGAGTTGACTTTTCTTTCTCGTTTTTCTTACTTTGTTAGTTGGTGGTTGGACAAAAGATGCAATCGTTGTCCTCTGAGGATAAATTAAATTGGGGAAATACAGCATGTCCTTAGTTAAATAAGTTAATTTCTATCCGAAAATTATGTACAGCTTTCGAGGGATATCTACTTCAGAGTAGTGTTGTTTTAGTAACCTAGGTTTTCTACTAACTATGGTAAGCTGTTTAACCAGGGCTATTTATTAAAATCCCTACAATCAAGATCAGTTGTGTCCATTTTCGAACCATCAAAAAGTTTCTCAGCATGGAATAGAACCTATCTGATTGTAAATGCTGTCGGAATGACACGATAGACAAAAATACTTATTTCTAATAAGTTACTTTGTCTTCAAATACTTTTCCCAAACATGATCGACGTATGTGTGTGTGTGAGGGGAGGGGACGTAAGCGTGCGTGTGAAAGTGCTCAGAGATCCAACACTTACCTCAAGTACCAACAAACAGTTGGGCTAATGCGCTACGTCCATCTGTTCGTTACCACTTTACCCCACAACCTACAGATAACACTCACCGTCTGAAACAAGAGGCCTTTTATCCTCTTTTCTTTTGCTCCACCATCCATTACTCTTTTGTTAAGACTATCGGAACCATTGTAACATATGTTAATGGTCTGCTACCAGCTTTGAGGTTAAAGGTTTTTAATTGGTCGTGTATAACCTTATGGTGTCGTTACGGTGGAGACGAATAATAAATTTCACTATAGTAAATTACGACTAAAATGACCGAGGTTCGAAGAAAATGTTGTAACTGTCAACGGACATAAAATATACACATGTTTAGTATGTTTGTTGAGCAGTGAAAAGTTGTGACAAACGTTTGACGAAGAATTTTTATGTTCTGAGCTAATTTTAATGGTTTTGGTTCATTTTAATTAGTGTTATTTCTAAAAAAAGGTGATCTTCGTAAAATACCTAAGTTGAACACTTTTATATATTTATCATACTAATGGATCAGATGAAAACTGTTTAAAGGAATATTTCTGTCTTGCTTGTGTCTAGGACGTCTTGTTGTTTACTGTTACAGTCAATTGGGTTTGCTTTTATTAACACACTTTAAAACTACTTAATATTTTAAATATTACACTATATTTTTTAAACTCTTGCTTGCCCTCTCGCATCATAACGAAAAAGTAAAGCATAATAACGTAACCAGTGTATTCAAACGTCCAGCATGAAACGCGTCAAAACATGCTTTAGACTTTAGAATAGTATGAGAAATGACTTAAGTGTCAAAAGTTGCCTTATCTACGACTTTTCATAAAGAAGTATCGTATTCAATGGTGGAATTGAAGTTATATACCTATACAACTAGCTGTAACCCGCGGGCTTTGCCCCGTTTAACTTCTTAATTTTCAAGATGATCTCGTTCGCATGGCTCAATCACGTCCTGGTTGAAGTTCGTTCGCTACGCTCACTCACCTTTATGTTGGAGCTCGTTCGCTACGCTCACTCACCTTTAGGTTGGAGCTCGTTCGCTGCGCTCACTTGCCTTCAGGTTGGCTCGTTCGCTGCGCTCACTTGCCTTCAGGTTGGCTCGTTCGCTACGCTCACTTGCCTTCAGATTAGCTCGTTCGCTACGCTAACTCGCCTCCAGGTTGAAGTTCGTTCGCTATGCTCACTCACCTTTTGGTTGCAAATTAGCTGTTGTCATAAATGTAAAAGAAATAATAGTGCTGCATCCTGTTGGTAATCCTTGTAACTTTAATGCTATTTAACATCATAGAACAAAACCAACTTGTTTAATGAAACAGCTGTTAAGATTCATTAATTCCATTTCTCATAAGGTTAACATGGGAAACTTCAGAGCCACTGGGGCGGAGACCGAGAGTCCGATCTGAATAAAAACAACTTAGTTTTCCTATTTAATGCCTAAAGAATCAGTGTACCAAATTTCAGCCTCCTAGGTAAATGGGAAGTGGGAGAATTAGTGATGAGTGAGTCAGTCAGTGAGGGCTTTGCCAATACAGATTAGGAACAGTGGTATTGGCTTTGGATACCTTTATCCTGGCTTCTCATGCACACGTCTCTGCTGCAGCAGCATTCAGAAGAATCCTTTCCTTGGCTGAAGAGGACAAAGTCCTAAAACAGCCTCAGTCCAGTAGGGTTTCAGTTCACTGGACTGGAACATCACGAGAAGTCAGTCAATTCCTGATAAAACAGAAGCTTGGTGTGGGTTGTGTGTGTTTTTATGTACGGCAACGTTGGGATGTCTAAATGCTTATCTCTATTTTTTTATGAGTTCGAGATTGTGTCTATTAATTTTTGGTGATATCAGAGAGAAAAACCCCGTTTACAAATACCTTGATCTGTTTAATGTAATAATGTTTAAGTTGGTAAAATAATCCACAAGTAAAAGAAGACATGAACCTACAAAGTACGTGTAAACCTACCTTAAAATTGTAAAGCTTGTATTTAACTACTGTACATGTGCCACTGACGCACGGCCAAGGCTCGATAAGAGTATATTACGAAGAACTTATTCCGACGACCTGAACTATGAGCATTTACTAAGTAACAGGTACGCCTACTACTATTGTGGCCTTATTTTAATACCCAACGAAATGAAAGTCTCAAATTATATTTCTGAAGGGTGTATAAGACGATTGTTCTGACGTGTCACCACTCCACATCCTCCCCACGTCACACTGGTCGTCCTTCCCTTCTGTAGGGGTGGTCTGGCGTGTCACTCTACCTGCTGGCCCATTGTTTTTCTGTCACCGCCTTTAGCAATTAAAGCTTCACCTCCTGTCTTTATCAGCTACGCATTCCTCGCACATGCGTATCCTCCCTCATTCAATCCTCTGTCAGAGACTGAGTGGCACCTGCGTACAAGTTGACAAGATTGATGAAGTGAACTTGATGGCTTATAACGGACAGATCAGTTGAAATGAAAGTAAAAGAAAAATGTATAAAAATATTCTCATATTGTTAGCTCTTTATATTAAGAGAAACGCCGGAGTTTCTTTAGTTTTATATGGACCCACTATTATTCATTGAGCTGTCATCAAATGATCCTGACTAAAAAGGATATCTCAAGTCAGTCATTACATAGAGCATCCGATTCATTCTATACTCACCTTAAAGTTTACCTATTCATGTTAAAAGACGTATAAAACTTACTTAACGGTTTTAAGTGAAGTGATTGAACATTCGTCTATTTAGGTATTTACTGAAAGAAATCAACGTTCTTGTATGAAAAATAAAACAGACTATACAGTATACATGTCTGTTTTTTTATACAAGAGTATACATATTGAAAAAAAATACAATGAAACAAGGATTTGGATCGCAATTCTCAAGAAAACTTCTCATAATTATAGGCTATACATACTAGGCTTAACACATTATAAAATGTAGGCTACATAATTTGTTTTCTCACCTGAGTACAATATACAAAATATCATTTTAATTTATGCTAGTAAATTTGTCCAATTTCAATGTAAATTATCAGAAAACATTGCCATATTTGTATGTGTATATTTTTTAACCCTAAATTATACCTTACCTGTACTTTGTAAGTAGTATATAATTTTGTTATTCATTGGACCTACCATTCAGATTCGGCTAAGTGTTATCAAAATTCTCTTTGTTAGCTAGTGTTGACGGTGGTCAATCACTAGCTCATGTTCTTCAAGTTATTTTTGTATTACTATTTATATCATTTGCTTATTGTTCAACTTGAACAGATTGTGAATTAAATAAAGTTAAAAAAAAGTTGCAGACAATTCAGGTCCTTTATACTCATTACGCTATTCATTACACTAACTTGACCTCATAATCGTCTAACCTCTTTGAAGTCATCATCAAACCTTCTTGCTTGAGTGCTTGAGAAGATCGGGTAACGTATTTGAATAATGTACTAGGGAAATAATGTAGTGTATACATGAAAATACGATAGTAAAATTAATTGCATGGATCATTAGCCTGTTACCAACCATTGATACTAGACAACACTATTAATATACTGTATTTATATGGCATTCGGTGAGGGATTTCCTCAACTGCACAAATCGTTGTCTAATGTAAACTCTGTATTGTTTTATGCTTACTTTCAGGAGAATGACGCCACATCAAAGGAAGTATGTTGTATATACACTATTTTACTAACAATTAAAGTATATATTTTGGATTTAAATGTCTGATAATGCATAGGCCTACTACAATATGTTTAAATTATGCTGATTCTTGGGAATGACCTTTCGAACTTTATAGGTCAATAATTATGATTGGCTGTGTATATATATATATAAGTGCTTCGTACTATACAAAAAAATATGAATGAAATCTCTTACTCCCAAGACAAACCTTTAGTAAGTTTGAGTAAAACAACAGAATAAAAAAAATAAAAAAATAAAGATTTCTTTGTTAAGCGTTTCTTTGGTACACCAGCTTTTCACAACTTTCGTCACTATGCTTAAGTTAACTAAAAAATTACTTTCAGCTCATCATACCTTCAGTGTTTTAAGCTCGAAATGTAGCCTATGAAGTAAGGTTTTACCCTATTGATGTCGATTTTTCGACATATCGTTGGTCTAATGTACTATTACCTTCGTTATAGACGAAATTATTAAATCATTTACTAAACAGCTGCTTATTTGCATTAGCAGAATATAAAACAAGCTGGAAGTCGTTTTGAGAGGTTATCTTTAAATACAAATATTTCGTTTTCTAGCTTTGTTTTTTTAAATAATTATGGTATATGACGAAAAATATAGTTCACCACACGGGCCAAAGGTGACTTTTTAACCCTCGCTCATTTTCCGACCTCGGCTTCGCATCGATCGTAAAACTTGACCTCGGATCAAAAAGAGTCACTTCAGGCCCTAGAGATGAAATATACTATTCAATGCGTCTTATCGGTAATAGACAGGGTATCATTTTACCAAAGTTAACAATATTCTTTGTCCAACTTCGTCAAGATATTTGAAATCTATCATTTGTGCAATGACATAACTGATTAGAAGAACGTAGCCGAAGACAATCCCATAAATTAGAAAAAAGCAGGTAGGCCTAGTTTACATCGACACATTCAAGCATTGCTGAAAATACTAATATTCTTCTGAATTAAAATAGTAAATTTAAAACCTAAAGCAAGAGAAACATAATTTATAATCTATATCAGTGCATTCAAAAGTTACCAAACATACAAGTTTCATGGTTGTTTACCTGGTGAATCCAAAGTCAATGCTTTACTGATCTCTGTCTTCTACAGGCTCTGAAGCCGTCCAACCACGCTACTCTCCAGAGTCTAGTGCACGCCCTGGGTGCCGACCCCCGGGTACCCGCCCCTGCATGTGTACCCCATCGTCTGTCCCCCGTCACCCTGCTGTACTTCGACCACACACTCAACGTCGTCCTCAAGAACTACCCTAGCATGGTGGTCGAGTCCTGTGCCTGCCGTTGAACACGACTTTGGTAAATGCTGGGTAATGGGGACCCAGTGGTCAACTGGTCAACCCTTTTGTAATTTAATGGTGATAGATTGAAATCAACACCCATCTTTGCTTATGGTAGGAATTATTCTTACGAAGAAGTTTAATCATAATGGATAAACAAATTTATTTCTTATGCCTATTGTTCGTAGATAGAGGTGCTAAAAGATGTTGTTTGAATTTCAGTAAATCATAAAATAACTATATAGTCCATCAAACCCAATACAACAAAAATCTAGTGTTATTATAAATCTATTGTTATCAGGTATCTGTCATCTGGTATGCTAAAGATCATAAGATTTATCGGTTAACTATTTCATTGGTTTACATTTTATGGGAGATATAAGTACGAGTTTATGGTGTGAAAGGAAGTGAAAAGGTTGCATTTACAATATTATAGTAGATTCATTTTCTTATAAAATCACAAATTAAGTTTTCCACAACAGGGTTACTGTCAACTCCTCCAAATATTTTCGGTAGCCTAGGTAGGGACTGTTTAATGAGGTATTTTGCCAAGTTGGACCTGGTGGTGGCAGTCAGCTGTTTTAGCGCGGGAAACACTTTATCTCCAGTTCTCTCTAAACAGGAGATAAGTCGGCAAAGCTCTCAACCCACGTCCTTGTAACCCTAATGTGTTTTTATAAACGAGACCGTCCTTCGTCCTTCCACCTTCCGCCGACTTTGACTGTTCTTTCACTCTTTGTTTAGCCTCCTATTAATCCTTGCTTGGTCTATTACAGCGAAATAATAAAAAAAAAACTGTAAACCTTTTTCATAGTTGACTAATTATATAAAAATACCTTGAACACCAAGTAAAAAACTGTTAAAACAATATAATCACGAACGACCAAACTCCTGTCCGTATTCGTTGCTGTATACTGTTTGTATTAAATCATTGTCTATTGGTAGATTTAGGCTTCTAATTTCCATGTTAAAAAAGATACATCCAATTTTGAAATAAAATTGAACGTAATTTAACTGAGTCTCCGACAAAGTGTACTGACGCTTTTGAGTACCGGTACTGATTTTCGTTGAATGCTAAATTTTAATCAAGCCAAACGGAAATACTATATTTCATCACTAGGGCATAAAGTGACTCTTTTTGACCCGAGGTCAAGATTTACAGCCGATGAGCGAGGGTTGAAAAGACACTTTTTGGCCGAGTGGTGAACTATATTTTTCGCCACATTGCATCATTAATTAACAAAAACAAAGCTAGAAAACTAAAAAAAATGTATGTAAAGATAACCTCACAAAAGGACTTACAGCTTGTTTTCGATTTTGCTAATGCAAATAATCAGCTGTTTAGTAAGTGATTCAATTATTTCGTCTAATACTACTATGTTATCATACCATCGATATGTTGAGCAATCGACAACAATAGGCTAAAACCTTACCGAATAAACCAACGGATAAATAATTTCGATCGATACGATTGCCACAATCGAAATTTACAACACTATTTACAACAGCTGATTTTAACTCCCTATAGAGTAAAAATGCTAGTTTAGACCCGCAACGCATGCATTAAAAACGGCTGTTTTTGCTGCAATATGACGAAAAGTCAATTTATCTTTGTTTCACAGTTTCATAATAAGCTGTTGTAAATTTAGATTGTAGCAATCGTATAGTTCGAAATTATTTATCGATTGATTTATTGGGTAAGGTTTTATCCCATTGTTGTCGATTGCTCGACATATCGATGGTATAATGTACTGTACACAATCGTAATAGACGAAATGATTGAACCACATACTAAACAGCTGCTTATTTGCATTAGCAAAATTGAAACAAACTGGAAGTCGTTTTGAGATTTTATCTTTACATACAAATTATTTCGCTTTCTAGATTTGTTTGTTAATTAATTATGCAATATGACGAAAAATATAGTTCACCACACGGGCAAAAAAGACTTTTTAACCCTTGCTCATTTTCTGCCTCGATCGTAAAACTTGACCTCCTCGGGCCAAAAAGAGTCACTTTAGCCCCTAGTGATGAAATATGCTATTACTGTAAACAATAGCATCTTTTATGTCACACTGATTTCAAAGGGTGAGAAGATAAGCAGAAAACACACATTTTACAATAGTACACGAGACTCGTCCAACTTGGTTCTGTTTAAATTGGAAAATCACAACTGCTAATTCATATAAATGGGATATCTACCTTAGCATCTAACTGCCAATTCAGCAACTCGGTATAAGTACCGACTGCCTCTTAGGTCGTGTATTTGAGCAACTATTAATGACACTGATGGCGAAGGAAGGCGTGAGGTTATCACGCAAAGGAAATGTGAGACGAGGCTACCCGGTAGCTATAATATAAATATTCAGGGTTTGAAAATATTTTTCCACGGGTCAATGATGGTTGAGGGCCCTCCTACCCTTTACTCTTATATGAGCAATGTTTACTTGTATGTATGTTTGCTAGCACAACGATCTCGAAAACGGCTTCGACGAATTCATTCAAATGTTGTAAATAATTTATTTCTGGCCTAAAACGGGATAGACGAAGGCCACAACCCAGGAAAATTCGTGTTTCGCTACACTGCTCATTTATAGTATATTTCACTACTAGAGACTCGCATTTAAAACACTATCTCGCCCCGAAATGTGACTTTCGTGACGAAAATTGAATGATACTTTTTATCATGATGAAAAAACTACTTCATCAAAATTTTAAAAAAATCTGATATTTCGTAATCTAATCATTTGTCTTCAGTTGTAACTTTGTTGATGTCAGGCAAAGTAATGTTTGTGTAGCGAAAGTAATGTTTATGTAGCGAAAGTAATGTTTATGTCAGGAAAAGTCAGCTGATCACTAATTGTTTTTGGTGTATGGATATTGACGATTTTCGAAGATCTCAGCTGTATGGAAATGGGCTATTTTCGAATACAGAGTGATGGAAAAAATTAACATTGGCCTTATGGGTTGCCTAGTCTAGTAACTATGTTGGTTAACCAAAATAACAAGGAAAAAGTAAACAAAAGACTTGTAACATGTGTTGATAACAAACCATCCACAATACTAGCAAATTGCAATATACAACATCAGTTGTTACTATTAAGCAAAGATTACACTGATTACTCGATATAGGGGGAAATAGTTCCGATCAAATACTGATTATTTTACTTGGCTCTCTCCTACCAAAACTTAATCTCCGAAGTACTGAGGCAATTGTTAGCAAACTTTGGCTTAACAGTGTAATAAATATTTATAAAAGTTTAAAAAAACATTTTCAATAAGCTGTTTTAATTCAAACAAATTATTTAAGGCTATCATAAACGAGTGAATAATACCATAGACTGCAAAATAAATTGATGTGTTGTGGACTGCGATGTTAAGATTTCCATCATAATACATTAATATTTTACTGAAACTTAAACAATAAAAGTCAAAACCAAAAATTTTACAATCAAAATAAACTATACCGAGCCATCGGTCCACCGCGCTGTACGAGCACGTAATCCCCCGGGCCCCTGTTCTATTATCAACCAAGAAAACTAAAAGAGAAATCAGTACTGTACATTAAATCAAAACCAAATACTAAAATGTAAATGTACTGGAATTAAATACTATTCTTATTCAGGTGAACTTAGGCTTTGATAGTCCTTTCTTATAGTAAACCTTTAAATAAATTAATAGTAATAACATTTATTTCATAAAAAAATATAAAAGTTTGTAATATAGCAAATAACATCAACTTATTTTGTTTTCCTAAAATTCAGTTACACGCACACACTCTCCACTGAAACCTGACTGGATGCACGCCATCTCGTCATTAGCAGTGTGTAACTGCAGCTGTAAGCCAAACATAGATAAAAAACAGCCGCTGCAGCAAACCTGCAGACTAAGCGAATTTCCATTTGACTGATTGGATTTACACTGAAATGTCTACTTAAAAATATAACATTTATTCCAGATTTAAATAGAACTAGTTTAACAAGTACTTAGGTTTGCTGCATCAGGGAGGGTAAAACTGTTTTTTGTCAAATGTGAATAGTTAGTAAGAAATAAAAACATTTTCCAAATTTGATCAAAATATGTTCACAAAAAAGCAAACTACAACAGTTTACTTATTCTCCATAAGAATAACATGGGAATTTTAAATTTAAAATTTTTTGGAATTTTCTCCGTAACCATTAGGCGCATAATAACGCTTCAATATACTAAATTACTTGTTTTTTTAAGCTCTACAAAATGGTTTGGAAAGAAATTGCTAAATTTGATGTTTTTTGGGTCAAAAATGGGAAAACCCTATTTTTACCCCATAAAACCCCCCGTAAACCCCCGTTCCCATGGTCCGATCATGCTGGATCGCAAACTCGTTCAAATAAACGTACGTTTACACGTTTGTACCAAATTTCATCAAAATCGGATCATTTTTGCTCGAGTTATCGTGCTGACGGACACACACACACACACACATATATATATATATATATATATATAAATATATATATATATGAATTTGAACGGATGGTGTTTTTGGCCTCTAGGGACCTCAAAACGGAAAAAAAATCGGTCCCGCGTCCAGGTCTTACCATGAGTACTACGGTAATAGCTTATTCCCTATATGGGAAATTCGCTAAAACAGCCGATTTATGAAATTATATAAAAAATATCTTTTTCCTACAGTCACCCGACAAAGTTGGCTTCCTTGTACTGTTTATAGTACAGAAAGCTGCTAATTGCTGCATATTTATACTTTGCCGTACGGTTTATACTTTGCCGTACGGTTTATACTTTGCCGCACATCATGATTCCAACGAAACAACACAAAACAGAGTGGTTCCATTATGCACGTAATCCGTGTACGCTTGGAAATAGGTTGGCAACACTTAAAGATAATTATACTATGAGCAGCTGATTGACTATTTTATTTAACTACGATTTAACCTGTCATTTCGTGTTTATAGTTTCGGTATTTCTGAACTTTCTGGACTTTTCTTTTAAACGTTTTTAAAACCTTCCTAC